GGGGGGGAGGGGGGAAGGGTAAGGCTATGGAGAGGCCAGGAACTTTTTCATGAACGGCTTTAGCCCTTGACATTGTTGTGTTCTTGACGACTTGAACTCGTGCTCTGTTGATCTGAAGATTCTGAAGTTCTGAACCGATTCAGGTACAAGGTAGGAAGCTCATCATTGTCTTCAATGTCATATATCCATGATTTAGAAATGCAAGAGGATATGCTGCCTAGGCATCCAGGCAATTTAAATTCCCTGCATGCAATGGGAGGTAGACAAACTAGGTGAGATTGACACAGAGCACAGGATGGTGGCGAAGACTGGACCTGGAGTATGACACCTGTTGCAGACTTGTGTTTTGCATCAGACAGTTCCAAGCCTCCAGGCCTCTCTTAGGATCTTCTCATCTCGGAGATTGTACTTGGAGCTCAGCGGCACCCACCACTGATGATATGTTCATGTTTGGAGAGCATGAATGTGAGGGTAATAGTGGCCGGGTTCATGCTTTCCAAGCATGAACATAGCACCAATGGGGCCTGCCTCGTAGCCTGTGAGCCAAGTGAATGTTGGCCTCAAGAGCTTTAATCACACTCTAGCTGAGTTTCGCAGGACACTCCGAGCGTGTTCGGTGGCATTCGGTGTCATGACCGAAGTTGTTCCTATTTTATTTGCATTGCAGCAGTGGCCGTGCTTGTTGGATTGCAGTGCACAACAGCATTGTTGATGTCGAGATTGTTCTATCGGTTTTGAAGTCTTTTTCCTCTTTCCCACCTTTTGTACGGCCTTGTCTATAGAAAATCTTAAACAAAATGGGGAGTATACCTCCATGTTATGTACGACGTGTGTGCACATTGCGTTGTGATGATCTTTGCGCACACTAATTTTGTATTTTGTACTTATGTCCTGGGAACAAAAAGGTATGTTTTGGAGGATCTTTTGGCAGGATTATGAGCTTTGGTGTTTTGTAACTATCATTTACGATACCGAAACGTGAGCCGCTTGGCCAAATGCTGAATCCATTATTATTATAATAATAATAATAATAATAATATTATTATTATTATTTAATATTTATTAGTAGTAGTAGTAGTAGTAGTAGTAGTAGTAGTAGTAGTAGTAGTAGTAGTATTTCCAAAACAACTCAGCCCCTTCTATTCTGGGGGGCATCAGTCCGGTTGCTTATCACCAGCAAGCATGAGTTCCTAAGTACAAATTATTTGTAGGAAAAGAGGAAAGCCTTACCCTTGTGGCCCTAGACGCCTAACAAGGGGGGGATTGCTTGCTTCAACCGATCCCTCTTCCAATACCATAGCCTCCCCAGGGATACTTCTGTTGGTCGGGAGGCTTCGTAGCAGCACCCAGCCACACAACAGATGGGTCCCCAGGGAAGGCCTGGCCTGGGGGCCCCGTTCTAGCAGTCTCACCGGCCTCACATCCTGTCAGTCTCACCCTCTGTTCAACCATCTTTTTTGTACCTACTAACACTCTTTTTAGTCTAGATCCTTCCCTATCCCGTCTTCCTATTGAATCCTTAAGTCTCGTTTAATTTTTACATCAATCTCCTTTGTCCATCCTATCAGTCACACCCTCTGTTCAATCCTCTTTTTTATAACTACTACACTCTTTTAGTCTAGTTACTTCCCTATACCCGGCTGCCTATTGTATGCTTAGGTCTCATCTAATTCTTACTCCTGTCTCCTTTGTCTTTGCTATCACCTGTTTCCTCTTGCCCTTCCCCCCCTTCTAATCCAGGCTTTTCAAACCTCGCATTTCACCCTCATTCTTTTTTTTTTTTTTTTTTTTTATAAATAACATGGCCTTATGGTCCTGGCTCCTTCCCATTCTGGGGAGCAACAGTATTCCACCGGCAAGTCAGAATATTCATTACAATAAGAACCACCCACGCTTCCTTCCGTCTGGCCGAAGGACCCCTGATCAGCATTGATTACTCTACCTTGGTGGAGGATTGACTGTCAGCTTGCTGTGGCCCACTTTATTCCTCTCAGATCTGATAACCAGATCTGCCAGATAGATCCTTGCCACCTAGAAAGAGCTCACCCATTGTCCAAGCTAGCCTTAGTACCCCCACTTACCCATCCAGCCCGTGAGCCACGATACCCTCTGTCCTACCTTGCTTT